TCTCCTTTTTGGGATTTCCTTTTTAGGGAAACTACTGAGTAGCCATTTTCTTTTCCCTGAACTGGTGAAACTATTTTTCAAATTTAAACATCTGCTGACATTAGCAGAACTAGATTAACTTCCTTTTAATTGTTCAACATTAATTTATTAAACCATTTTTACCAACTTCCAATAAAGGTGTATATTACACTATGTATGTATATATATTTTATTTTCTCTCTTTTTTTCATGATAATTTATTGTTTGGGGACCAATCAACATTATGATTAGTTGATTAATTATTAACTATGGTAAGTAAATTATAGTTAATTAGTTGATGTTTTGTTCCAATCATGCTTTATTTTAGAACAAAAAGCAGTTGTATCAGCTGAGCTGTCACAAGAACTGAGAAAGTATTAAATTTAAAATGGCTTAAACTACAACAGTAGTTTAAACTTAATTTATAAAAAAGTATTAAATAATCCATGATAAATTTTATGACTTTTATATTTGTTTTCTTACCCGATGTCAAAATCATTGCATAAAAACGCAATTCTAAAAATGTTTTAAGAATATAATTAAATATTAATGTAATTAAATATTATATATTTAAAACAAAATAAGCTGTGAAGGAAAAAATAAATAAATAAAAAATAATTCATCTATTCAGGATTTATTTCACTGGACATCAAGTTTTATAATAAATAATTACTACCATGCTAGACATTAGTCTAAGAGTATTCTTTTTAGAAGTTCTAAATGTGCATATATCTTTATACTTACACCTTGGAAACATGGATTTGCATACTTTCTTTTTACACTGTCATATTTACTTCTCTTTGATGATAAAATCAATTTTACCAACATTGTCTTTATTGGTTTTACATCGGAATAAACATAGGTGCTATAATGAACCATTGTTGCATTCCATAAGCTGGGATCTGATCTATTGTTCACTATACACATTGCTAAGTAAACAGCCGAAGCTGCCACTAAAGATGGTCTAACATCGCAGAACATGGAATCTAATAAAACCAAGTCGATAAAATATTTTGAATAAAAATGTTGCATTTTATCTGCTTTAGAAGCCATATTAAATCTCCTGATGAACACCACAGGTGGGGGTCTTCCTAAATTGAAATTGATAGCATTCAGTAAGTTTTGTTCAGTTTCTAAAAACTGCTTCTTAGTAAAAGAAGTTTTACACAAAGAAATGAAATCTTCTATCAATGGTGAGAACATTTCTTCATATTTACATGCAAGGGAAAGAGAACAGAGGCCAACAAGCTGAAACATGCTTTTGTTCAAGCTGTTATCCATTTGGACATATTTGTCAAGAATGTAAACTGCAAGATGAATGGTCTCTTGCAAAAGACGGTACTCCACATGTACATCCACTAACCAATCTACCAAGATGGTTCTCATCCCAGGGGTAATTTGGGAATTCTTCACCGGCCATTTACAAAGTTTGAACTTTATCTCAAGTTTTTGTAAGTAGTTGTAAATATTTTTTGCATATTCTTTGACTAAGAAGAAGTTTCCTTCATAGCGTTTGTCTATATCTTCGATGATTTCTTTTTTTGAACTTGGTGCGATTAGGTTCAATTTGGGAACATTGGTGGGCTTGTACCAAGGATAAGATTTAATATTTTTCGAACTGCCATGGCCGCAATTAGAGTTCGACCATTCTTTCAGTTTTGGTCCATGCTTGCAGGTTACTTCTGCTTTATTTTTTATTACTTCATAGCTGATATTGCTTACATCACGAAGCCCTCTACGCAGTTTTCCATGTTCTGTCTTCTTTTTCAGAAGGGGGGCGTCCTTTGAAATGTTGGTTGACGGTAAAGTTTTCTTTGTGATTGGAGGCATTTCTGTATGTTTCCAGAATCGGTCGGACGATCATTCGTAGTTTAAATTTTATCGAATTCAGACCTGATGAATCCAGTGGTTGGTTAGTTTTTTATGTAAAATTCTTCAGTCTTTGGCCGTAAATGTTTTTTTTTTTTAATTTATAAAACAGAATGAGGAAGTAAACATATGTTCTTAATTCGTTAAAATGTTTTAATCAAAACCCGTTTCCTTAAAAAAGTATACATATTTCAAATATGCTTAATGAAATTGAATAAATATCCATAATATTAAGATACTTCATTTAAATTTAAGTAGTAAATTAAAAACTAGTAGAAGTTAAAAAGAAAACCATCTTTCTATATACGAAAAGTGAGCCCAACCTGAAACACGCGGATCACAATGAGGCACGCTGGGAGCTCTCAAAGTGCATGCTACGGCCAGTAGTTTTTGTTTCTTTTAAATATTTAGTAATGTTTTTTTACTGAGGAGCATTTTACCAAAAATGAACTTCACTTCCGATAGGTTGTCAGGTTTTTGAAGTTCCAAAGTAGGATAGAACTAAATCGGCAGAGGGCGGTTTAAGAAATTTTTGTTTTTACAAACAAAAAAATTAACGGCAAATTGTGTATGTTTTGTTTTTTATTTTGTTCAGATCCCTCCTGCTTCTGGACAACACGGATTCCATAACAGGAACAAGAGAGATTAATGCCCTTCCCTAAGGCATTGAACAAGTCGCGAAACATCTCCTAAGACCTGCGAGGAATTGTGATACCCAATAATCACGGAGAACCCATTTTGCTTCCAACCGTGAATTGACGGTAGGAAAGAATTTTTTAAAGGACTAGTTACCCACCATCGATTCCTCGACTGAAATGTGTCCTCCCGCATTATTTAGATGGATCTGCCGCAAACCATTCTTTTTTTTTTTTTGGGAAGAGCTTTTGAGCATTCTTTATTAAAAAACGTACATTGTCTTACGTCTTACAGGAGGAGGTCGCAAGGTACTCCTCCCACTGAAACCTGCACTGCTTTATGAGTAACAGTTCTGTAGGTTTGGTTACTCGCAGCAGAGCTGTTCTCTGGATTGTCGCAAATCATCTCTTCTGAAGTCTAGCCAAGCCTGAGGATTTTTTTAAATCTTTGCCACCTCTGTGGCCGTCCTGGTCCGTTAGTTTCTTAAAAAGCGAGTTAGTCGAGTATTGCAGGCTATCAAAAGAAATTTGACGCCTGTCAACGCCGGTATATCTAAGGTCTTGTGGAGATGCACTGTATTTAATCACTATTATTGTTTTAAAAAACTCTTGAATAGTGCTCTTGTGAAAAGGGACTTACAGAAGTGTATTTTGTTAAAAAAGTTTCAAGTAGTGTTGATGGGTGAGAAAAAGATATGATTATGACCTTAAGCTGCGTTTAGAAACTTCACAAACTATGAGAAACAAAATTACCTAACTTAACTAACAGCGAGATTATTGCTAAACCAAACTATTTATTTTATATCTCTTGATACCGACAGCATATGGAAAATATAAAAAACAAGAAACAAAAATAGTAGCATAGTGAAATAAAAATTTGTATATTCGTTTGTTCCATAGTTTGTGAACTGTGTAAACACACCTTAAGATTTGCATATCGACAGCCACACTGTAAAAACCTATAAGAAAAAAACCTAAAAATTTTCAGGAGACGACACAAACTGCCTAATTTTATTATATAAACATATTTTACATATGTTAAATATACTTTTCGGTTCATTTTTTTTTTTTTTTTTTGAACTTAAGAAAAGGTGAAATGCTCAATGTAATTTTTGTTATTATATTTCCTCAAAATAAATTTTTAGAGCCATTACTTCTAACTTATAGCTTTTAGTTACTTTTAAGAACAGGTATTAGTTAGGTAAAAAGCAATCAAATTTATTGTAGTAACACCCATAATTGTTAATATTAACGAAATCATAGCCGGAACAATATCAGTTTCCAAAATGTAGAGAAACTGATATTGTTCAATACTTCAAATGACAATTTGTAAAATATTTCACTGGAAAGCAAGTATTTGATCACTAAGGTTTTCATGTCTGCCACTGTAAGGGTGGCTCGGATGAAGTGCATTTTGGAGTAGTCCATGAAAGTTTCGTCATCAACCTCATATGGACATGGTTTGATACTTGATAAGTTCTAGATAAACTGCTAAGGTGTAGATCACTTTGTTTCTGAACTTCTTACGATTTCGAAGATTTATTGGTTTAAAAAAATCTACGTACAGTGAAACTAGAGTTATTTTTTCGTCTCGTGTTGAATTTTCCAATTAATGAAATCAATTCTCTCGGAATTACCTGAAATTCGGCGGCATTGTAGCTTTCTTCCAGTTAGAATAATTTTACAGATGCCAGGAAGTTTCGATTGCATGTGAAGGCCGTTCAATATTACATTCCCACTTACCATTCTTTTCTTTGCTTCCATGGTAAGTAGTGCCGCAAGAAGGAGCTGGGCCCTCAGGGCAGAAGAACCCGGGTATTTGCCCAGAGGCGCCGCCCGGGAAGTGACCGCCACTTATTAGAAATATAAAAAAAAAATACAAAGCGTATAAGAAAAAATAATTTGAGCCCATTAATAAAGCTAATTAATACTGTAGTCTATGCGAAAAACGCTTTATTCATTCTATAACAACATGACCACCTTTCATTGAGTACTTACGTTTTTTCGGTAACGACACAATCTCTAGAACTTTCACAGTAACTTAATGGTTTTTATGTTACAATTTGCTGGTTACTAAATTACAGGTTTTTTACAAAAGATCATAGTGAAGAAATGAAATCTCGTATTGTGCGTTTACAATATGTGCCAGCACATGACCAGAAAAGCTCAAAACCTCATTGTCCAGAAAAATTGTCCTTAAAGGCATGCAGTGTGGCTGTCGATATATTGTTACTTAAATAAATGTATTAGGAAATGAAGTATAATAGTTGTATTTAATTAAAAATATTTCTTATGTATGAATATACTAAAACACTAATGAATATGAATAAAAAAAACATCGTATGATAACGAAATCCAACATTGGCAATTTTCTTTGGATATTACCACAATATCGAATCTTGTGCTGCCATTCAGTAATAATATCGATAGAAAGAAAATATCGATATCTGATGAACATCGATAATATCGGAACACTTCGGTTCGCCATTTTGGCGCCTTCTAGCCGCTAATTTGTGATATCTTGAATGGTATGCTGCCTCCAGACGTGTTCGACTTTAACATTAAAATGACTACCGATGGAATTGATACCGCTGTTGCCATGAGGCCTCTTGTAAATGGGGCTGTTCTTCATAAAATGATAGGCAGACCCGTGACATTAGTAGGTACCGTCATTTCGGTGAGTACCAGGCAATTTCTATCATTATATTTATTTTCTGTCTTATAGCTGTAAACTATTTAAATTTCTTTTCTTTCTTCTTATTCCTTTATACTTATAATATTGAATAAAAAAATTCCTGTTTATTGTCCGTTTGTTTATTATGAGTTTAACCTATGATGTGGGTGTTATTCAATCATCTATAATTTGTTTAAAATGTATATTTAGTAATTGAATTTTTTATTTAATTGTGAGTTTGTATCGTGAAAGGTAATAGATTGAACATTTGTGCTGATCATTGCATCTTGCTTACATTTCATCCATTGAATGTTAATTGGTAGTGTTGTTTTAAAAAAAAAAAAACTAGAGCTATTCCTTTTAAGGATTTATTTGTATTAATTAAGTATAAAATGATCAATCTTTTTGTATTTTAGCTGGAGTCAGTTCTCCTATTTACATTTTATGGTGAAAGTGTCAAATGTCTACATTTGATATAGTTTATCGAATACAATGAAAGTTACAAAATTTACTTGAGAAATTTATCTAAATCATGTATCTATTTCAGGTGAATCCTAAAGGTACAACTATTGATTTAAAAACTGCAGATATGCAAGTTGTAATTGTTTCAATGCGAAAGCCATTGACAGAGCCTGTCAGTGGCGTTATTGAAGTTCAAGGGATCGTTCAGGGTCGAAACAGCATGGTCTGTGATTATTACATGTCTTATCCCGACACCCTTACTGGAACTTATCGTAAGTTTGAATAAGTTATTTCATGATAAAGAAACAGTGTACTTAGTATAGAGAGCAAATACAGTGAAACCTGACTTAGTTCTACCTTGTCAATCATACTCAGAAAATCAGATTGTTAAATTAATAGAGGCTGGGTAAGCCACAAGTCCAGATTCTATATACAGTTCAGATAGGCCAGTCCTAAATTTTATTTGAATTACACTCCTTGAAAAGAAAACATTACTCTACTTTGACGAGTGGGCCAAGATCCCATGATCACGCTATTAATGGGATTCCCAGAATAGCCAGGGGTTTTATTTATTCTAAGTGTAATTTATCTTTGTACTAATTCACATGAGTTCCGCAGAGATTACGCATGGTTCACAATCACTCGGTCACATTGTTCATGGAGTGCCGAATGCGTTCGGGTTGATCTAAAAGAGAACGAAGACGACTCTACTTTTATAACCTTAACCATGTTCATTTATACAGCAGGAGTCGACTTATATTCAAAATTTAGGCTACATCATGTAACCTTAATCGAACTTGTACATATATTATGCAGCTGTAGAAGAGAAATAGTAATTGATAAAAAAATTTAATTATTATATCTCTGAAGCCATTTCACGATATTTTTCTTATTGATGATTTCTTTTATTCATTATCTCGGAATTATCAGATATTCTGCATTAGTTGTTTCCCCAAATGTTAAGTTAATTCCTTCCTCGAAATTAAAGTAAATACGTATATGTAGTAAATACAGATTGGGCATTAGTGGAATAAATATTTATCTGTGTAACGATTAGCAGATACATTTTATTTATTAATATTGTCCATTTTTCTCGCGCAATCTTTAATCTAACATTTCTTTCATAAAAAGCATCCTTTACACCTTAATAGTGGATTCTTATATCTAAGAATTCAAAAAAGTTACATAACCTTGATGCTCAATCTCAAATCAGATAGTATTTTCTTAGAAGGCGCCCCCGACTAGAATATAGTGGATCCCCTCATATTAGAAATCCAAAAAGTTACATAAATTAGATAGACAATTGCGCTATTCTAAAAAAGGCTTGCTAAAATAAATTGTAAATTCAATTATTTCAATTTCTATTGAAAAACTGGAATAACAATTATAAAGATAATAGATAACTTCAGATTATTTACTATCCAAATGATAAAAAATCTTAATTACACAGTTATAAAAGATAATATACAACAGTATGTTTTATATAGTATTTTTTAATAATGAATACACTTTAAAATGAATGTTAATTTATTAACTGAAAAATAACGCTGTGATAATAATTAACCATGATATAACCTATTTTTTATCAATTAATCATTGTAGCTAGTTATACAAAAATACCTCCCTTTAAATATTATATTTTATGGAAATAATATAAGATATAAAATATTAATGGTAATGTAACTTAATTTAACATTGAATTTAAATGAATTGAGAAAAGTTAGATCTAAAAATTAACTTGAAGATTAAAGGTTGAGCCTTAATGGAGGTTTCACAATTCTTCCAGATCTCGTTTACACATGAATACACTTTTGAATGAATGTTAATTTCTTAACTAATATATAACCTATTTTTTATCAATTAATCAGTGTAACCAGTTATCCAAACACAGTATATGCGTATTTACAGCCACCACATACAAGCACGTGCCTATAAAAATTTTATTTCTAAAAGCATTTTTTTAACAGGCCGGATGACTCGAACATCATTTTATGTATATTTTTTTACTTTTCTTGCAGAGTAATAACTGTTAAAATAAAAATTAATAATTAACAAATTAGTAAATACATAATTCGTTAATAAATTAAAAGAATAAGGAAGTTCCAGGATGGGAATACGGGCTTTTTTAAAAAATGCATGGAAATGGATTGTGTGGTGGGAGCAATAGATTTCAAAATACGTCAACATTCAGCTGTTTTCGGTATTTCATCAACAAGTGTGATCGAAGTGATTGTGAACAACGCATAATCCGTGCGGAGCTCATGTGATCCATTACCTTTCTCTTTATTTAGGTTGTGATTTAAGATTTCAGGAAATTACCTACAGATCCTTTTCAGTTAAAATTAAGGTATAAATTAGATTTAAATGAATTGCTACTTTCAATTTCTGCTTGCTCAAAAGGGATAGACAAATCCTCCATTGGTTCTTTTCAGTTGAGGTCAAGGAGTTACCAGACACTTTAGTCATTCTGTCTGCTTGGGGTCATTCTTGAGATTCCATTTATGGCGTGGCGTGGTCATGAGATCTTGTGCCACTTATCTAAGTGGAGTGACATTTGTACAGAAAGCACCTTTCATTTGATTTGTTAGAAAAAGAAACTCTAAGAAAGGTTGATCAATTTATCAAGGTCAAATTAAATTGACTTTTTGACTCAGATTACCTATACTAAGCTATGATTTTTTTTCATTTTTATCATCGCTAATACAGATTCGATTCCGATGATTGATTTTTTTTGTTAGTAATTTAATTACCTTTCAAAAGTTTTATTATAATTTTTTTTGTTTTTTTAGAGAATGTGTTTGATAAATTTGAGAATTCCTCATTTTTGTTTTCACTATATTTACCTTTTTTTTTGTTTCAGAACAAGATATTGCCAGTAGCGTGTTTACTCTCATTCACAGTTTAAGAAATCCATGGGTGGATAATTAACTGTATTTAAAAATTTTTTTTAAGTTTCTGTTTAAACCTTGTATTTTATAAATAAAGATTGTATAATAACCAACTATTAATTTTTAAACATTTATATGGATAATGAATGCATATTGTATATATATTATAATATTTTATAAACTTCACTTGGAAGATTTTATTTCATTAATTTCGATGTACTATGCATGTTTACATTTTTTAATAAAATGAGATTTACAAATTATATTTATCTATTGTCTATGGTTTCCATGTATTTAACTTTATCAAGGAGTGGAAGTTAGATATATATCGCTAGTGTAAATATATATATGTTTGTGCAAAAGTTTGTACGTAAAAATTGATTTTTTTTATAGAAGACTGACTAATGATTTGTTAGTATAATTTCAATTTTGTTTACTTCTGCTATATTCCTATTTAGCAGATTACTTTTAGCATTTGCAGACTACAAAATGCCACCTTTAGGGCAAAGAGAATAAACATGTAAAATTGTAATATCTAACCTTTTGCACTAACAGTAGCAATATTATTTAACCAAATTTCATTCGTGATGAAATAAATATTTTAAAATGAGAATATTTTTCCATATTTTAGAGGAATGGGTAATAATCAGTAAAACAAACTACTGATAGTATAAAGTTGAACATCAATATTTAATTAAAATTATCCCATTTTTTTTACTTTCATTTACGTACATATGTAATATATAGTAAGGGTAAGTATTGCGATCGTGAAAGTTTTCGAATCTCAGTTTTCAACGGAGATACATGTTTTGAAGTCCCCTGAGTCCAAATAACCAAGTGTCGCAAAGTGGTCTGTGTGTGTGTGTTAACAGTCTAGCTTATAAACGAAAAGTAGTATGAAATTGATATTAAGTATTTAAGATTTGTATATGGGCCATGACAGCAACTTTTAAAATCGGCTAACCGGAAGTGCCACTTTATATGAACGCTGAAACACATTTTTACAATTTTCTCAAAAATGGCTCTAAAGATTTTGATTAAACTCGGTGTATCATTGTATAATTAAGTGGTCTTTAATATCATTTAGGTCTTATCCCCGTTGATGTCACTTTACAGGGCTTAAATGCCCAATGTTCATATATGTCTTCCTCTAAAATACCTTTAATATGGTTTATTTTAAAAAGTTTATCATTTCGCATTATTCAGAGTAACGAAAAAATGCAATGTATTACTTTTGAAAGAATTTGATAAGTTAATAAAGAAGAAAAAAAATAAAAATACAGAAAAACCTGCGTTGCTATAGACTGTAGAAGAAACGAATGTACCGATTTCAATGAAACTTCGCTAAAGTCATTTTCTCGATACCCTTTAAATTTATCTATATAACATACTTCAACGAAAAGAAGTTAGAAAAAAAGTTACGAGGGATGGTAAAATTAAATTACGAATAACTCAAAAAGAATACACTTTTTTGTGGATATTGTATGGTTTTTAAAAGTTTATGGAATTTCCTAAAAAAAAAAAAAAAAAAATGCATTAAAATTGGATAATTAGGAGGAAAGATATGGTCTCAAGTTTTTTCCCCTGAAGAGGCGAAAATTTGTATAAATTTAAAATATACTTTTTTAATTGTTGTGACTAAAATAACTTTTTTTCAACAGATATTTAATAAAGTATCTTACCTCAGAACATCTTTCATAAGAAATAAGTACCTAAATTTATACCTTTATTCTCAGCTCTATATTTCAACACTGCAATCACCACCTCCGGAATCAACTTACTCACTGTCTGCATAGATAACTTTTTTAACTAAAAATGTCACTAAATTTACATTACTCAAAAATGTTGAAATTGGAGTTAGTCACTCTGTGGTTTATGAAAGCAAAGAAAGTTGTGTGGTTTATAAAAGCAGATGGAGTGACTTGATTTTTATTGCCTACCGTCGATATATTAAATAGACATTTTGTAATTATAATGGTCTTAATGACTTGTTATCTGTAAGCTTTGAGCTTTAGCTCCGTTTAAAATGCACTTCAAAATTTTTATAATTGTCCAGCGTTGCCAGAAAATAATTTCTATTCAAAGTAAGTGAAAGTTGTGTTGCCCGCACCAGATTTTTTTTATATGGTTTGTATTTCTCAATATTTTCCTATGTATAAAGAACAAGTATGTGGCAAAAGATTCCTTATTTTAGGATATAAATGGTAAAATCTAAACTATAAAGCCTTAAGGCTCTAGCATATTCGTGAATATTTATAGTTATACTAGCTTTACCTGGCCACGCGCTGCTGTGGCTCAGTATGACAAAATGAAAAAGAAAGAAAATAGCAAACATATGAGCGGCTTAATATCAAATGACATCTGTCATTTTTAAAAAGTTGAAAAAAAATTTGGCTGTAACATTAATTAAGCTCAAATTTAAACTAATTCTAATGATTTTTTTCCCAGATTAACTTGAATATCCTTAAATAAAATCAACAGAAACAGTTTGAATTGAACATATTTACAAAAATAGAATTTTCTCTGTTTTCTGAAAATGACACGATCAATCTTTGATATGAAGCCACTCATTATTGTCAAGTTTAATTTTATTATTAATATTTTTTAAATTTAATGTATAGTCTAATGTTCAATTTTGTTTGGATAACTCTAGGAACAATCTGTTAAATCTCGGAAAGTTCTTCATCCTATGCCTTGAAATTTTGGCTTAGCGTTGCATTTAAATACACGCGTGGTTTAATATATCTACTATTATAAAATTTAAGGTGAAACTACATATTTATTAAAAACGCACCATGTAAAAGCAACACATGCTGTTCAAAATATTTTACGATATTGTTTCAATATTAAAGATTTTCAAATATCAATCGTGGCAGTGCATTGACATTGTGCTATACCATTTATCATAGCGTTCATTTCATGTGCATTAGAGCTGCCTTTTACCTTCCTCAAAAGATTTCGCATAGCCCTCCTAAGATAGTTGATTGCTTCTACTTAATAACAACTTGATTAAATATAGAGTTATAAAAATTGTAGTGGAAAAATAAACCATACTCATGAAAGAAACCCTATGGTAAACGGCAAAACCTTATTCCAACATAATGTTAGAGAAAAGAATTTATTAAAAAATAAAATAAATTGAAATCAGTAAAAAACTGATTTCATCATTAAAAAACAATTCAAGTGAAATTATGTATTTTTTTAGTTAGCGACACATTTTTTTGCAGCTTTGAACAAAAAAACATTCACATTTTAATTTTTTACATATATTAAATTATCGTAAGACAGAAGTACTTTCCCAGAAACCTTCCCAGATGTGTACGGAACAACTTCCCAAAGTTTCATGGCGATCGAATGAATGGTTTGGTAATGCATAAAGGACAGACATACATTCATTTTTATTTATATAGATTTGAAAATTAGCCTATGAGAATGAATTTTCCCTATATTTCTCTTTTTTTTAAATAGGTATTTTTCGAACTTTTTTCCACCATCTAAAGGAGGGCACCCATCCTATGAGAATAAATTTTCCCTATATTTCTCTTTTCTTTAAATAGGTTTTTTTGAAACTTTTTTCCCAATTTCCAGGAGGGGGGCGCCCACCCCTCTCCTGGATCCGCTAGTGCTTCAGGCTTTCATGAACGTACATAGCTACACCTCCACCAGTCCGGCAGCCCAGTCCGTTGCGAATTAGTATGTAGTTGGAAAAGGAAACAGAAGAGGATGAGATGTAAGGCTTGAGCCAGGTTTCAGAAATCGCAATGATGTGGTAAAAGATTTGGGTAAAGTAATCTAGGAATTCATCATAGTGAGCTGGAAGGGATTGGAAGTTGACATGACAGGTGGTTAGGACACTAGACATGAGTAGGATTTAGGAGAGTACAATCGGTATTTGATGGGAAGACACTGAAGTAGATTAGATGTCTTAAATGTGATAAAAACTAAAATAAAAGAAGCCAGAAATTAAATGAATCGGTGAGTAAGAATGGTAAGATTTCCGATGAAAGTCCGGTGCGCATGAAGGTGAATAAAATTCGAGCCGTCAGCCAAAGACATACATAGACATATAAAGATATCTGAGGTAATAATAGGTATTCTGATGCATGTAACGAATAAGTTTTTGAATTGATAAAGATGACAAAAGTTCACAAATATATTCTTTAAAGTTTCACTCTATTATAAATCCACTTTATCAACTATGCAATAAGCTGACTATAACAACTGGCCAAATTTGAGTAAAAATTTCTACTGTAAGTAGAGTGATAGTGAATGTTGTGTGATGTGTGCACCAGGTTTCTTTATATTTTATCTTCTTATTAATATCTACATTTTAAGATTATCACATTTGCTCATATCTTGTTAAGGGTAAATCAGAAAACATAAGTTTTACTTAAAATTTTTTTATTTCATATTGAAATATACATACACTTCCCTAGTGTATGATAGATTAAATTGATATATCAATAATTATTATAGGTACTTTGACAATAATATCTTTTATAAATTTAACTTTTAACAAAATAAAAAGAAAGACATTTACAATATTATTTAAAAAAAAGAATATTATTTTTCCCAATATAAATTAATCTTACAAAATAAAGATTCTTATCCCATTTTTTTATATTTTAAATTTTTTTAAAACATTTTTTATGATGTTTTTTAAACAAATGTCAGAAAAATAATTAGAAAAAATGTAAATAACTAATCTATATTAACATAAATACTAAATACCCTTAGATATAAACTGTAATGAGACGATCTGTACCTGAAATTCTGACAAGCAAAAATTATAAAAGTGCAATCGTGGTAAGAAATTTTAAGAAAATGGAATTCATCAAGTGTCAATATTACATAAGAATTAAATGGACAATAATGAAAGGTTTTTAAGTAAATAAAAATAAAAATGATATTTATAGGACTTAAAAAGGGTGTGTCATAATAAAACTATAACAATACAGAGCATAATAAAAAATGACTAGATAAGTAGTGGCTTTTCAAGCGCTTATTGTGGCCTGTGCTTTGTGCTGTAAATTTTAAAGGATTGAGGATTTTCAAATATAACAAATTACAAAGGCCCGCGATGAGCCGGTCGAACAAACAGACATATGTAACCCACAAACAAACTGACAGGAATGGCCAGAAAACTAATATTTAAAGTACATCGCTTGACGACTTCTAATAAAAATAAAAATAAACAAATATTATACTAAAGTTCAACAAAAATACATATACATATTATAGAATATATATATACTATTTATATGTACAAAACATCTTTTACAAATGGAAAAAAAAATTAAACAAACAACAAAGAAAGAAACGGACCCGCCGTATTTATCAGTATACATCACAATTCTCACAAATATACATACATTTAATTAATAAATCACGCAATACAGCTCGGCTAGCCAGTAGCCAGCAGTCATACTGCAAACGAGACTGCAACAAATAGTTAAAAACAGCAATACCTTGATTTATTCGAAACAAGTGATTTCAATTGTCAATATTGCAGACTCGTTTGATGGGAGACATAAATTGTACTTCTGAGTATATTATCCAAGATCCGACAAGAACAAAAATACAAACAGCCATTGAAGACAATGGCAGATACATCTCACAAAAAATATACCTATTTCCCTTCCTATATATTCACATTTATATTTACAAATACTAACAAATATAACAAACTTTTTAATTTAGTATACAATATAAAATGTGTCATCTATAACAACTATTGACAATATAATCTGCTGGTACAAACTCTTCCGAATTGTTTATAATTTTATTTTTTATTATCTATTAACCGTGTGTAGTTACAATTTTTTTTTTTTTTTTTTTGTTTTGTTCTAAATCACATTTACTAATTTTTTTCCATATATCTTAAATAGCAAATTTATGAGCCTTATAAGCCATATTTGATGATATTTTTTAAAAAATAAATCGTTCATTATACAAATAAAGATAAAAACAAACAATATACGAGAGTCTCTCAATTTATATAAATATAGACAAAATAAAATAAATCTCTATTTTTAGACTCTTAAATCTAGCTAACAGTGAATAGAAAGTGGTAAAAGATGAAACAACTATAGATAACAATCTGGAATGTCTTAAAACAGAATTTACCATCCTGCCATTTAATAAAAGTAGAATATTAATCACATTAGATATTAAATGAAACAAATAAGCATCATATGCCTACAGATGTGAGTCAATTGTGCAATAAGAGTTATCTTCTTAATTGTATATCCCAACTTAAACTACTACAACACGCAAACCCCCTTCAATTTAAATAGTAATTTAGTAAATTCATAAGATTTTTTTCTCAGTTAATTGCGTAATGCTTCAAACTCTTTTAGTGTTATCAGCTAATATAAACAATCATGGTTAAATTTATTTTCCCCTTTTGAGGAGACAGAGGAAAGAGAGAGCTTATGACACAAAAAACTAAATACTTAAAAGCTATTGTCTTTTACGTTCCAGAAAGCCACAAAAACTCAATTATATTATATTAAACAATATATATATATTTGTATGAATGTGGGGAAAGAATGAAAGATAAAACTATATTACTATACAAATATACTTTTTAACAATATTTATTTTTATTTTTAATTTGAGGATAAAACAATGTTTATTCCCCAATCAAAACATGTTCATTTTATCTTTCATGCTATGAATGCTCCCCCGACAATGTATACATATATATATCAATATATAATTAATTATATAGTAACAATGAGGCAGGTCGATATGAACCGTTGAACATTGAATGACAATACTAAAACTGATAAAATGGACACAAATATATCCGCCAGCACTATCAATAAGGCGGCGACCAATATACAGCCGACAGGCCGGACAGAACTCGCCCGCAGCGAGTAGGCGCAGCCCGCTGGTCACAGCGAGTGACAATCGCTCAATTCCAAACTGTATCTCCCATCGCTCACTTAACCTCATCTTCCTCCATTGGCTCCACAGAGCCTTCGTGTGATGTCTCAGATCTGTAAGTTAATAACAAAGTTAACATTATCATTTAACATCACTATTTTATGATGTAATATATACTAGAGGCCTGATTTATATACAATGGTATATTTAGAGACAAATTTTATGCATTTTCATTTTGCATGTTTATGGATAAAAACATATAAATGAATAATTTTGTATGAAGATTTTTAAAAAATTTAAATCAAAGTAAATTTATAATTTAATTTTAGTATATTAGACTGTAAACGACTTCAAAAACGGTTTCAAAAAGGTTAAATTTTGCTTAGCTAGATAACAGACTGTATTTGAAAGTTTTATTGTACTACTTTTTTTAAACACTCAAAATCATGATTTTGTTCGTATATTTAAACATTTATTTATTGTTGTTTGTTTTGGGTTCAAAAACATAAAAGTTTTTATAAGTTATTTTTTATTTACATAAAAATATTTTTGTTAAAAATATACAATAATTTATTTTTATGATATAAACAATAAAATAAAATATAGTTTTATCAGTTCCTATTCTTCACCTTATTAAAAACTTACTATTAATTGAGGATGTGGTTGGTTACAAGTAGAGAGAACAGTGTAAGGCAAAGAGAAAGTTGGGCACAAACAAAACTTGAATATTCATTACTCATAAGTAACTTTTGGAGTATGGGTTTTTATCACAGCTGTATTTTAAATTATTATATAATCAAATTATGTCTTTTTATTCTTAACTAATTTAATTACATATTCTATTTTCAAATTTAAGATAGATAAAAATCATTATATATATTAAACATAAGTAAGTATCATCACTAAACAGTATACATACTGTGGCAGGTGAGAGTTCTGATGCTGCATCGAGAGGGAAGCCATCGTAGCCGTGACTGCGGACTCCTCAGCCTCAGGGAGCTCTGGGTAGCTGACGGTGTGGGCGAGCTCCTTGAGGCATGGCCAATGGCTCAGCTACAACACAACAGATAGTGCTTAGCTTTCTCAGATTGGTAATAGAGATTATGGGTGTTGTTCTTTAAACACCATTTGAACCTTATTATTTCAAAAAGGAATACTTTTATGAAACTCAAAGAAAAAGCTTCCTTTCAGTCAATTTGATTGCAGGGACATTTCTCTTTCTCTTAAACATTGGCAGGAAAACGCATCAAACTACCAATGTTGGTAATATATGTAGTATTTGTATAATAGCTAAAATAAAAAGTCAGAAACCTTACAATTTTATAATGTAAGTCAAGTATATTTGTCAATACCTTCAACACTATATTGTATGTGTATAGAATTTGTTTGATAATTGCTAAGTTGGATAGATAGATAGGTTACAATATGAATTTTATAATGTAATTTAATCAAATGTGTCAGTACTTATTATGTTGGAGTACATACACATATTTCTAGGAGGAATTCTTTACATAAAACAGGTTGGAAGTGAGGTGCAAGAAACGTTATAGGTATAGGAATGTTTAAGAAATGACTATGCATACCACTTTATATGACTCATTCTAGTCACAATCAACTAACCAACCTTCCAAAAAAAAAAAAAAAAAAAAAAATAAATAAATACCTGTATGGCTATTGTTTTCTGCAGTGTATCTATAGCATTTTGACAAGGCGGTCTTATCAATTCAGAGTGGCTTATAGGAGACGGTTCGTCACCAAGCAAAGCCTTGACGCATTCCTCTGCAGAGTCGCAGATGGCAGGCAAATCATAGCCACCTTCAAGCGATAGTACGACCTGCAAAAATATCGATGATTATAACTTAATAAAATCTATAATTACTACTTTTTGATTTATTCATATTTGAATTTTATTATATGATAATAACAGTATATAATATCACAAACCTTTCCATCGGCAAGCTGCATCAGCTGCTGGGTCATCCAACCAAAGATAGCAGGTGACAATTTGTAACCTCCGAGGGGAGCTGGGTGACCATGTGCAGCATCAAAACCCGCAGATACCATAACTAGGTCTGGGCAAAAATCCTGCACAATCAAGAATAATTTTAAAACTAATCAGTTAATATTAGAACCAAATATAGTATCAAAACTCAATTTAAAAGATATTTTAGAATTGACTAGATGTAATTATGTTAATGTAATGTATATAAACTTTAAAAGGGTAGTTGAGACCGAAAAAGTAAAAGCAAAGACAGAGAATATGGCTTCGCTGCTTAAGGAAGTGGTTGTCTTCCCCTTCAGTTTTCGATCTACCCTGAGAAGAGCTGCAAATGTAGCCGAAGCATTGGTAAATGTTCTTTTCGTTGTGGGTGATAAATATTCAGGACGCAATCTTTTTTTTTTTTTAATGATATGTATAACAGTCGACTAACTTCCTTCAATAATTCTTTTCTTTACTGTTTATTATTACAATATATTTGCAACCACATAGCAACACATCAACCAAATATATTGTTCACATTGAACAAGAGTCTTTGATGTTCATAAGTATTAATTGTTCTTTATATTGAATTATCAGTGTGCAGTAGATCTCAGGAACACAGCCTTTTCAAGAGATAAAATGAGAGGATTAAGATTGATATGAATCGTTGAATATGATATACTTGTCATGTACTTAAAAGTTACTGCTAGTATGCCGTTTATTTGAAATAAAGCATGGCGCATTTATAATTTTTCGAAGAATTTTAGATTGTTTTTTTTTTTTTGTATGGCGTTTCGCTTATGTGAACGTGCTATATGGAACCCAAAAGTTGAACACCAAACTAAATTTTCATGTATCAACCCTAAAGATGTAGAGATAGTTGACCGTGATATAATATGAGGAGTTGATCAGGGGGGGGGGAGTGGGAGGGGGGTGCGGCAAAATAAATTTGAAAATTGACACATTTGAAAATTTATTTGACCGCACCCCCCCGATCAACTCCTCATATGAACCCTAAAGATCCTGAGGAAAGAAAATATTGTAAATAGTAATTTTCAACTGGAAATTTAATTTTTATTTAGTTTTTAGTATAAAATGTTATAAAATTGAAAATAAAAAATAAAATATTATTCATGGGTCTTCCATGAAAACTAAATCAATTTACTCTCTTTTTTTCTTTTTATTTAATATGTTAACTTAAAACTTTCCTCACTGAGAAACTATCTTGTAAGTGTGAAATTATGATCTTATTTGAAAACCTAATAGCCTAAAAAATAAATTATTTTATCTTACTATTTCTAAACCATAATTGAACAAAAAATTAAAAATCTTTACAGTACATGTATTTTATAAGCAATGTAGGAATACAAGAGAAACAAAGTATAAGTTCAGCTGAGGGACGCATGACTTCACTTTTGGATTACTAACTAATTAATTCTGTTTGAACTATATATAATAATATGATAAAATATAATGAGCACTTACCCTGGCTATGGGCATCACAACAGTTCTAAATGCAGCAAGGTACTCGGCATCGCCCATCGGTGGATTGAGGCCTCCTGACCATGCGATGTTGACAGTGTAGCCGAGACCGGGACCGAGACCACACTGTGGAATGACAGAGTAAACTTAAAAAATCATATTTAACTAAAAGAAAATAATTACAAGTATTGCTCTTATTAATTATATTTTAAGAAATACATAAAAATACAGAAATGTTTTGTATGCAATTACAAAAGTATTCAAATAATTAAAACAAACAAATTTTGGGTAGAAATAAAGATTTTTACATACATAACAATTCATCAACTTAAAATAAATAAAAATAATTCTGATTTCTGTTCGAGATTCTATTTAATAAGTTGCAAATCGGCCAGTTTGGATTTCATAAACTAAGTCAAAAATATATCTTATAAATTGAAGAAATTATGACAATTTTCTCATGGAAATAGTAATGCTATCATCAAGAGCTATGTATAGTGTATACTAATAGTGACTGATTTGAAATTATCTAGTCATATCTGGTATGTTCTTTAGTAAAAAAAAAATTCTAGAAATGCATGTTATTTATTTCTACTTTCTCATAACGATACAGGAGGGCCTAGACCGGAAGAGGACTTTGTTGTCCTTTTTTTACGTTGAGGTTACCGTCATGCACTTCCCAGAGTAGGGCTGTCAAAATTCATGTCTCAGGGCCTCCGAGAAACAAATATTAATTGAGCCAGGTTGGAATCAAACCCACAACATTCAGAACCAGGCTTCTGAGACCTTCACTCCAACATGCCTGGATCATGTATGAAACAGGCTTAGCCAAACAGTGAAATTTTAAGAATCGGAATATTATACTAGTAATCTTCTTTTTCTAATTAAAACAACAAATACATTACGAATGAATGAATAGATTTCTTTTGCTGTTTCTTACACTTTCATTGCTGCATGCGGAATGAATTTTCATACCTTACTTATAAGTTTTAAAATATAATAATAATTACTTCTGTAGGGCCTCCTGTTCCAGGAAAGAAATTGCCATCATCGTGCCTGTGAAGGGATACAAAGAGCACCCGGCGATCCTCGTAAAACATTTGCTGGGTTCCATTGCCATGGTGGACGTCCTACAATGGAATAGATAATCTGAATATTATATTTATTAACAAAACAACTTTGAATAAATAATTTTTCTAGTTATAATAAATATCTAATCTGATACTTTCAAATTATAAAAATCTTACTTTATCAAAGAAAGAGAATAAGGGAAATTTATTGTGCCTTAGCTTAACATTAAGGGCATAACAGGGAACTACTCCAATCCTAGCAGGTTCTTTAATGGTTTCTGTCCAAGAAGAAATAATTTTCTGTTTAATATGAAGGGCATTTCTGAGAAAAATGACTGTGGTCTATAAGTTCACTGCAAATTGAAGTGCCTCATAAGTTCAAACCCAGGTTGAGAGAGTCATCTATGTATAGTTCTGTCATTGTAAGGATGGAATTGCCTTCAATATCACAGTGATAGGTTTGCCAGACTGTGGTTCAGGTTGATTAGAGTGGACCATTTGATGAATCCTAAGGACTATGAGTTCTTCAATCCAATGAGCCTTTCTATTCTCTAATTTCTATTCTCAAACTTAAAATACACAAGTTTCATGAGACCCTTAATAACCTATTTTTGCCATTCCACCAGAGATAAGCAGGCTCATTTTGTAATGAGAGGTTTCCATGGATCTGTAGGGAGCTTACAAGTCTTGGTAAATGAGATTACTAGCCTATCATTTCCAATCACAAGACCTTGACAGCGCAAAAGCATTAATAGTGTGAAGTATTGGCTTTGTTCAATAAAAACTAATCTCCAAGGATACTTTGGGACAGCTCCATACCTTAGCACATATGGCTGGTAGATTAACCTAAAAACTCAAGCTGGGTGTGTTTCCTCTAAGTACAATAAGATCTATCTATTATAACAGGATACTGGGTAGCATAAAATAGGCCTTTTAAGGAACATAGTTGTTCTACTAAGGAGAAGAAGAAAAGAAAAGTGCTTACCCAGTCTACAACAAGGATTCTTCTAACATCAAGTTTCTGTTGTAGAAGCTTTGTAGCGATAGCGACAGAGTTGAAAAAACAAAAGCCCATAGCTTGCGATATTTCGGCATGGTGTCCTGGTGGCCTCACAACAGCAAAACCATTTCTAATGTCACCAGCAGCAGCTGTGAAACAATAAATTTATTAATTAAAAGATGTTTAAATGTTTCATTTATAATAACTACTAATGTAGAACTATCAAAAGAAAACAACATAAGAATCACATTAGAGCTGTTCAAGAACAGTAATTTAACAAATCGCTATTGTAAAATATTATATTGAGCTACCAATTCTCTCTTTGTAATGTCAGACAAACATATTCTAATTGTTTTTATATTTCTAAAATTTATTTCTTAGCACTAATTCTATCTCTGTTTTTATTTGCATCATTAATACTTAATTTATCACTAATTTATGTGTACATTTATGTTTCTCTCTTTGTTTATTTATGAAATTATGTCTTTATCTTATATTTCTGATTTAGTTATAATTTAAGCTCTCATAATGATCCAACAAACTTTGGTCAAAATGTTAAAAATCATAATAAAAATATTTTAAAGGAAAGTCCGGATTATTCATCCCCGAAGATTATCTTCAAAACAATGAATGAAAATTTATTTTCTAAATTCTCAAATTTAAGAGCGAAGAAATGAAAACTCACTTTTAAATGCTAGGTCAACAACAGATCCAACAGCCATCCTGGCCGCAGGGGCTGTGTGGATATCATTCCAGGTTGTGTCCGAGTCAACGCCGACGCCACCACATGGCAGTCGCACAAAGCTTTTGATAGGCAACTGGGACAACTTAGACATGTCCAGCTTCTGTCTGTTCAATGGATTAGTTCCTAAACCAAAAATATAACAAATACAATAATCTGTAAAATGTTACAAGTCATTAATTGTGATGTAAGTCAATCGCTCAATTTATTATATGATAACTATAAAACAAATAATTGATTTATAATGTACTATCAAATATCATAAGCAAATACCATTATGTTGTGATTAAGATGGGTTTATATGCAATACATACACACATATCAAAATATGCTACATAATATGCCTTTAAAAGTATGATAATATGTATTATGAAGCACACAGCTCACAGTGTACTTAAGGCTATTATATATAGGACGAAAATGTACAGCATTCGATGGAAATTATTTTAAAAAATGTTTAATTGGTGTGACGTGTTCCAAGAATGTATAGTCATAATAAATAGTTATGAAATTTAACATAGGAGGAATGTGAGGATAAGAATGAAAAAAGATTTTGTAACAATTATATAAAAAATATTATAACATGGAGGATAGGGAAATGATATAAAGATTACGACTTGAAAATGGGCAAAATTGCCTGAAACGTCAAAAAAAAAAAAAAAACTGAATTGAAGCATAGAAAGGAGATGAAAGGGTGCAATAAAGTTATTTCCTTGCAATTATTAATTTTATTACAGATTTATAATTATACAAAAAAGTCTTATTATAGTTTACAAAAAAAAAAACTTACCAAAGAGGAGGGTATGGGGCTCGGAATGGCAGGTCTGTATTTCTTCTAAGGTGGCCTTTCGCGACCTGACCCTGGCACAGCGTGCTGTTAGCCCAGTCTCACACAACCTCGCCCAGACAGATTGCAGCCTGCCACCGTGCTCAGGATGCCAGCCGTTTTCGCCACAAATACAAGCGTGCTTTAGCATCCCTGAGTCGAATGCCAGTCCAGTTGTCAACCTTTGTGGACTCCTGCAATAGAGAAAGTATTGAAGAATTGTATTATTTGTAGGATTTATGTAGAATATGAATATATATATATATATATATATATATATTTATGGGTACCTGAGGGCTGACAGAAAGATTGCAGAAGGAAGTTTATTATTATTAATGACATCAGCTACGTTTGCAAAGCCTTATTATTATTACAGCTGATTTCACATCCTTATCATATTCAGAGAGCAATCAAGGATGATCTGTTATGGAACTTACCCTGTAAGCTTGGGCGACACAGCTTGGCTGTCAGGGCCGAGAGCCACGAGGGGTGAAGAGAGTGCCCTTGCGAGTGGTCGACCGATGACCCTTGACCCTTGCCTCATCATCAGGTCTCGCTGTTCCTGCAGGTTTTCCTCCCTCGACGACAGATCACAAGGCATCCGTCCATCCTGATCCTCTTCCTGGCTTCGGCTCCTGCTGCTTTTCTCAGTCAGGTCAATCACCTGAATAACATTTTATTGTTATATAAAAAAAAATTACAATGTGCTTGAAGTAATATTATAGTCGTCAATAATATTTTTTAATTTGTTTCTAATATTGTAATTCTGTAGATTAGCCATGCCTCCAATCCATACCACACCTCTGAAATGCCGTGTCATTCCAAGTTTTTAAAACCTTTTTTTAGTATTTAAAAAGTGAAACCTCAATCTTAAATATCTTCTATCGAGGTTTTATAATTTTATTTTTTTTCAGATTCTAACTCCTTGGAACAACATGCCTTTTCATTCTGAATTCAATGAAACCAATGCCTAAATAACAAAAATTAAAAAAGTGACACCTTTTTTATTTTCTTCTCATTCATAGAATGGAATATTATATGTCCTAAACTAATAGCAAACTCTTATTTATTCAATTATGAAAATTAGATAGATGCTAAAAAAACTTTAAAAGATGAAAATCTGTACCTCTGCAGTGTCATCGGTTTCTGGAGTGTGTTCAAGGTGAGCGTTGGCCAGAGATTGTGCTCTGCTTCCAACCCTTGTCAGGACTGTTTGTCGGATTTGCTGAAATAAATGGAATCTCATTCAAATTTATGCTACATAAGTCAGAAAATAATTTTAAACTTAAAATAAACATTTTGCAACTAAGTTCAATCTATCGCTTTTCCCATTTATTTTTTCAATATTATATTATCAGGTATCAATATATTCATAAAAGCTAATTAAAAATTATTCAAATAAATTCCTGAAAAAATTGAGTATATATAGAATTTTTGATGTCAATTTCAATGAAATGTAGAAAAATTGATATATTCCATAACTGACATTTATCTTTACAATTCACAATAGCAATTTTGTCAAGTTAGGGTTGAGATTTTTTTTTTGCTATGGTAGTAAATGAAGTTGTTTAATATACTATGATATTTTATTGAGAAAAAAAATTGTCACGCAGTTTAGAATACCCTTACTACTGATTTAATTTTTTATTTCCTTTAAATTATATATTCATAAAAATAAATGTATACATTACAGTAAATACACATTAAAATTTAAAAATTTGAATATTTTGGTTTAAAAAGATTTTACTTGATCGATAGAAAATTTAAAGTTTCTGAAATATAGATAATTTTCAATATGTAAGTTCAATCACTACGCTTTGAAGTGTATTTGCAACAATAACTTTATATGAATTTATTTTTTTTGTTGCCTTTACTCTGCAGGTTCATTGACAGCACCTTCATCTTAAACTCTGTAATATTTAATTACTATTTTCAAGAATTCAAAGGTTTTTTTTTTAAACACTTGGTTGTCAAAAGTAAATTATTTTTCTATATTAGTGGCAGATCTATTTTTTCCTTTGTAGTTATGAATACGAGATAGAATCACATGTTTAAATTTTTGTTGAACATTATAAATATTGCATGTTCGAGGTTTCAGTATAAAATTGCTTATTGAATTCTTAAAACTTAGTATAAAATTATATAAACAAAAAAAAAAAATGTTTTCTTTAATATTCTAAAACCAACAATTTATAATACAAGCACAACTTTTGAAACATTAGATATAATTTTAAAAACCACCATTCATGCTGTTAGTTATCAATTTTAGTAAGATAAATTAATTTCAGATTCAGATTGTGTTGCCGTGGACAATTTATTTAATTCAATGCATTTTAAAAAGCCTTGAAATGTGAATTCAGTGTGAAACTAAATCTTAATATAATCGACTAATATGAAAGAGATGGATATAAAATTTCATACTCACTTTAAGATAAATATTACAGGAAAACATGCGCCTCCCAAAAATAAACTTTAATTTTTAGTTACGTGGAAAGTTACCTAATCCAATTTCCGTCACGAAATATTAAAATTTGAACATGTTAATCCCATATTTGGTAGTACGCATATATTACTAATGGGCACAACACAAAGACAACACAACACACAGACCAACCTGCTTGAGTAAATTACTGGTGATAGAGGGCTGTTCCCGGTAGCTGTCCTCATAGTGAACAATGGTGCTGTGGTGTTGGCTGGTGTTGAGCATTGGGTGTCCGAGCGGCAATGGAGCCGACTGGGTTCGACCCAGCGGGCGGTGACCAGCTTTGTTCAGCCTGGCGTGGGCCACCTAGAAAGTCACGCTCTGTTATGTTCCGATCTATCTTCCAATTATAATTCTATCTTACAATGTATATTAATTTTTCTGTTAGGCAAATATTCTCTGGAAGATCTTCTTTTCAGAGATAGTTTCACATTAATAAGTTGTTTTATCGTCTTCATGCCCTGTTAATTATAAAAATAGTGTTGTGCATCGAGATGAATTTAGGGTCTTCTTGGGACTCATTTCATAGATAAAAAATAAATTTTTCCTTTCTACTGCCATCAGTTAAAGTTTCCTTTATTCAATAAAACACAAATGACTTTTTAAATTAAAATATATACCTATTATTAAAAAATTCTGCTGAAATATTAAAAGTAAGCACATATTTTAATGAGTTAAGTTTACAATAGGATAGTGCTTGGTCCCACTACCGAAACTAGTAACTTAACAGCTTATAATTCAGTTACCTGAGCATCTGTGATGGGAGGCGGTGCGTGGTAAATGGTCTGCAGGTGAGGCCTATTCTGCTCTAGGCTTTGCATTTGCTTTTGGATGTAACTTGGAGAGGTAGGATTACTGTATTCTGCATCTATCACTATAAAAAAAAAAACATAAATCATTATATATTTAATTCTGATTAAAATGTATCAAAATTTATTTCCAATATTTTATCATATAGTTTATAACAGGTTTTGAAAATACCTGGAAGCGTTGGGTAAAAAGGCAGGGTGCCTGGCAACATCTGTCCTGTGAGAGGCATACCGAGCCTGGCGGCAAATGCAGCTCTCACTTCGGCTTCGGATACGGAGGCCAACTTATTGCCATCCTAATCAGATAATGTTTTAATTTTTTTCTTCAAACTTAAACTTAATAATAATTGATTATTATTAAATAAGCTTACGGAAGCAGCTGAGTTCGGTGGACGACCCAAGGAGATGTTTGGCATCGATGGGCTGCTATACAGAGCAGAAACGTCAGAGAGGCTTCCACTTTGGCCAGAAGTCTGGCCGTAGCCTGGTTCTCCTTCCTAAGACAGCAAACATTGTATTAAGTGTCAATTAAAAAAGTAATTAATATTTTAAAATTCTGTGTGAATAGTGACTATGCTTAGTCCATATATATTTCATATTATATGACGGTAGTATAGAACTCTTTTCCGGCTTTTAGGACCAATGGGTTTTGATGAATGAGGTCTCAAATGAAAGGAAATTTCATGGAGGGGTGACAAATGTCAATTTCATATTTTACAAAACCACAATAAAAGTCGTTGAAAAAATTGTGAGGTTTCACAACTCAGATGATTTCAAAATCCGATGGATTGAGATGAGATAAATTATGGTTTATAGATTTTGATGGGGGTATCAAGACTCAGTAAGCTTACAAACTAAGACTTCTGCACGGAACAAATAGGTTTTAGAGAGAACAATAATAGATTAGAATAAGTTGAGAGAAAACTGTGACATATTGCTTAAGTAATAAACTGGAGGAATATTTTCTAGTGGAATAATCTAATCACATATTAAGTTAATTGTTACTTTAACAGTTGTGGTAAACAATGAAGCTTCACCAATTTAGTGACTTGAATAGACTATCTTGATAATAATCATATATACAAATAGACATGTTTTGCTGATTTCGAATGCATTAGAGTAGGAATTATCATGGTCTAGTTTATAATGAATTTTTCTGGTTTAACCAAGTTTAAGTTTAAGTTTGTTTAAGGTTAAGTATAACCGAGTTTGATCGAACACATATTTTGCTAGATTATTATAATGTTTCTATTTAAATCTGATCAAAGCTGCTAATTTTTTCTTCTTCTAATTTCCGAAATTATAATATAATACTAACTTACAATTAGTTATTAGATTTTAGTTCTATCATGAAAAATAATTATATTTTTAGAAATTTTTATTGAAATTTGTTTATATTAAAGTTTGATTTAGCTTCTTTTTTATATATAGATAAAAATAAATTAACATAGTGAATAAAGAGTATACATATATATATATATATATATATATATATATATATATATATATATATATATATATATATATATATTTGATTATTTAATTGGACATAAGGTCACTTATTAATTATTCAATAAACTACTAAATGTTCATTGCTTCTGTGTTTATTCGACGTTTCGATAGCAGTTTTGTCTTTTTATAAGTTAACAATGGGATCCTCTTCAAAGTTTTAAAATAGAACTTCGATACCTTAGGCCAGGGACACATCAACAGTCTCAGCACCGTCCACCAGAACAGATATCAAGCTACTGTGTGTTAAGAGTAGCTTAATATTTTATCTTAATATCGGCATAAAAAACTGGGATTGAAATGTCGAATAAACACAGAAGCAATGAACATTTAGTAGTTTATTGAATAATTAATAAGTGACCTTATGCCCAATTAAATAATTATGTTTAAATTTAATACTCAAAGGTCGATTAAAGAAAAGTTATAAAGACTATATATATATATATATATATATATATATATATATATATATATATAATGTTTTCAGATAGCAATATATGCATACAAAATTTACCTAATAAAAAGAAAAAATATGAAAAAACATTATATGAAAAATATCCATTGTATAAAAAAAAAAAAATTGTCATATTGTATGCGTTGGCTTATGTCTTATAAAGGATTATTTCCGAATTTGGTCGAACTTCTATTTTGCTAGATTTAATCAGAATATCAGTTGGTATCTCTATACAAGAGGAATTTCAGAAAAAAACTTCAACCTATACTTGAACAAATGTGGTAATTGAGTATCACAAAGGGATGAGATCCCCAAAAATTATAATAATTATGTTTACATATTACATATTTACATGTTATACTTCTGCGACTGCATTAGACCAACATTGAAACTCACCTCTTGTATCGGAGTTGTGTGACCTGCGGGTGGCGACAGTTGGGTGGCGTGGACTGGAGGCGAATTGGGACCAGAGTCAGGATTACTGCTACCTGATTCCACTACGCAATAGACAAGCAATCATCAGGTTAGGTGCTTTATATTGAACCAAGGATTAAATAAATTTGTCGTATTTTTCGTTAGTTTATTAATGAGAAAATGTCAACAATTAAATTGATATAAACCTTTTCGATTAGCTTATATTTTGAAATGATATAAAAAAAAAATAAAAAAAAACTTTTCATGCAGTATTCTCATTAGTAATTATTGACATCTTAGCAAAGTCAATTCTCATTGAGTGAACAAAATCTGTAAGTTCAAATTAGTATTTGTGCAAAAAAAATCATTTTAAAAACAGAATTTGTTGAACAAACTTATTTATATCATATATACAAATTTTTTAATTATAAAACACACTAATTGAGATGAAGAAGCTTAAACTGAATAGTAATAACAATTAACAAATAATTTATAAGATAATATACTGTAATTTTTTCTTGTTTATCTTTTTATTATTTTTCCAGTGAGATGATATTTAAACAAATCTAACATTCAGTCACTTAAAATTTGATCCCTTACCAGTAGAACATATCTTTATACTGGCCCTGATAATATGAAACCAGAATTTAAATAGAGAAAATACACATTTATAGCATAAAAATGTTAAAGAATATTTTATTCAAAATATTTTCCATTGCAAGAAATACATTTTCTCTATCTCTCTGGCAACTTATGAATGGTATGACAAAAAAAAAACTATAGCTCTTTTGTTATTCATTTTCATAAGAAGTGAAGTGTGTGCTCCATCGATGCAAATTAATTCTTCATTTCTCACATTAAAATTGCTGCTTTTTTTTTTTTTTTTTTTTTTTTTTTTTAAAGCACTATGATTTACCAAGAACTTGTTTATCAAAAGCTTTGATAAGCACTATATGCAATTCTGTATCAGTTTGCTTTAAATGGTTACAGAAAACTATTGCTGTCGGCAAATTGTAGTTTGTAGACATAAAACTTGACAAGTTCACTATAAAACAATGCTGTTATTTGAAATTTATGTTATAGTGATTGAAAGTCTTCAACAGCTGTCTAAGAAACAAAATGGTGCCAGTAATGCTGTTTAATGGTAACTACATTAAAAACTAGAGCCATCCATAGATAGCTCATTCATAAATGAATTTCGGTTTCATATTTACACACCTGGTAAATGGCAATGTCTGATTTTTTTAAATTTTCTTGTATAAAAGGATGTTCTGATTCAGCATATAAATATAAAATAAATTGATGGCCATAGTGAATAAGACACAATGAAGGATCAATTAAGTGGTCAGAAAACTTCAGAAAGTAGAATTGTCTAGTTCACTATTTTGTAATTCACTATGACATAATTATAGTGAAAAATTTTCAAAATTTTTTTCTACTAAAATTTCACTTATATGACTTCTGGTCATTTCAAAATGACTGTCAAATAAAACTAATATAAGTAAAAATTGTACATACTACTAATGAAGTTCGCTTACAATAATAGAATTACTGAGATAAGTGAAATATTATATGTTTTGGGAAATATATATAGATTGTAATAGTGTAAGTTTCAGAACCAAAAATCAGCTACTAAAAAAACTAATTATAAATCACAAAAAACAAAAATAGAAAAGAAAAGAAAAAAATTAAAACTGTTAATATGAAGTTTATTGTACGACAATGAGGGCATGCTACATACTTGCAAGGGTGGATTTCCGTTTGAGGTGCCTGTCCTTCCTGCGAGCGATGGGGCTTGCTCGTCGCTCGAACACTCGCTGCTTCAGCCGCACTTTGAGCAGGTTCGGCTCGGATGCTGAAGGGGGGAATGCGGGTTAGTAAAAAAAAAGTCAAAATCAAAATCAGTCAAAAACACGCTGTTAGAACTAAAAAAACACAATGCTTTCTCAAATCGGGGTAATCAGGAACAAGAATCATGCTTTTTGTACTTTCGAATAGTTCTAATAGAAATGATTGAGAAATAATTATTTCTTTAAATTGATAGTCAGTAAGAGTTTCATTAATTATAAGTTTCATCAGAAAAATAGTCTTTAAATTAAAAATTAATGCTGGCAGGTACTCCAGCATGAATAAAACATAAAAAAATTTTATAAAAAAATGTATCATAAAAATTGAAAATAAATGACTTGAAAATATAATTTATAATTAAATTGTAATAAAACAGCAAAAGTGAAAACTAAACAGTCACATGATCTTATTTTCGAATAAGTTTCATAAATTCTTACTAATTTATTTATAGTATTCTCAAAGTAATTATTAGATAGTTAGTAGAATAAAAAGGAACAATCTAGAAAAGATAAAACCCAGAGCAGTTACAGAGTTTTACAGCAATTTCCACACACCATTCTCAATAAGTAACTCAAACATAGCAACAAGAAATGCTGTACCTGTCTTCCTTAGCGGGTACTCATCTTCGTACTTGGTGAGGAGGGGATTCAGCCGGTAAGGGTTACCCTGCCCTGGAGGATTCTCAATGGCGGGGGTCTGCTGCACCACCGACCTGTAAACAGTTATATTAATAAAACATCGTCTTCACAGTTCACAACAAATACAAACATTTATAAATTAGAAATTAATTTTTATATATGAAATTGTTTTTTGAGATGGATATTTTTGTTGACTATTTTTCTTTTTAAATTTTTAAGATGAAAAACTTTGGGATTTTCATTGTAGATTTTTTTTAACCCAAGAATGTGGGGCTACAAATTAGAAATTTCTTCAGAAATATAGGACCATAATAAGCCAAGAGAAAAAGATGAATAGTTCAGATAAGATAATAGTAATATAAAAATAATAGTACACTAAGAGAAATATATAAAAAAGATAGATCAAATAAATAAATAGTTAAAATAATTAAGAAGTATGCATAAAACAAAAGTTAAGAATAAACAAGGTAATTTTTTAAATTATGAAAACAAAGTGGAATACAATAGAACAACATAGTGTAGTGAGATTCAGCAAATAAAGATAATATAAATAATATGTAGCAACTGGGGGGTGGGGGAAATGACTGAGTGGGCTAGCATGACAAATTATGCGTTGCCGGCAACCTGATTAACTGTAGGATGATAAAATAATTAAGAGTTTGTTTCCTGGGTTTTTTAGTTCAATCAATTTCTATTCTACAAAAAATGTGACATCCTTAAAAAACATAACATTTAAATGTATTACTTTTCTGTATGGGGTTCGACCATAGCCCAAATGAACTTTTCTGTTGCATTTCAAACATTATTTATGTTATAACCTGTAGGAAATTGAAATCAAATATAATTTATACCTGTATTTTTGCTCAACAGAAATAATATCTGCACTAACATGTATAATGAATGCTACTTGCCATGCAACATATAAAACTAATTAAATAAACTTTTATTTTATTGGATTTATTCAGAAAGAAGAGATTAATAACAATAAATAAGAAAACGCATGATGATGAGGGTTGATCCTGAATCTTAAACTCAGAAAAGACTCTTTTGTCTAATAATAAAGTTTGGAAAGAGATGAAGGCAGAAATACATCTGGCCCTCCACTCTATTAATAGCGGGGACCCCGACAATTTAAGAATGGGAATATCCACAACTGGGTTATGACATTATCCTAAGACACGATTAGCCATTAATTCTTTTTAAAACGAATTTATAGAACAATAACAATTGGTTTGGAACTTGTGTATATGTGTTAGCTTAACATTATACATGATCAAACAAAGATACTTACCAATTGCGATAGGGTTGGGGACCAGAAGGTGTCGGCGCAGCACCATTTGCTGCAGCCGCAGCAGCTTCACGCTGCTTCTTGTTCAACAGGAAACCCTTTAAAAATTAAAAATAACCATACATTTTTTTAAACTGCATAAAAAAAGTTATTCTTTACAATTGATAAAATAGAAAGAAGTGAAAGATTGTAACTGTTTCATAAAATGTCCACCTGTTTTCATGTCAACAAATAATTGAATTATAAAATAAATAAATAAACAAAATGAAATTATTAATCTCACTTGATCATAGGTGAATAAAAAAATCTTACAAAGACCTATAACTTAAAAAATAACTTACAAAATAACACATAGACACAACAAATATAAAGTAGACTATTTGGATAATATAAGTATTTATTTATAGTGGTTATAAAAAGTAATGTATAAACGGAGCAGAAATATTAATAATTATATTTGAACAGAAAAACTATTATAAGATTAAAAGTTGATAAACCATTTTGATACAAAAGTTGATAAACCATTTTGATACTAGTTCAAAGTGTGGGCCAAGATCATTTCAATCACACTTTTACACGGAATGCTGAAAATAGCTGAGCTAAGTTTGTTTGAAAGAGTATGGAAGTGACGGACCTCCAGAATTCAAATTAACCATGATTAGAATAGGCATAATTTTTGTTCATCACATTCACTTCTTCCTACTAATAAGTATCGATAACAGTAGAAATTGTCTTATACATGATGTTAAGGTTATATTATATGCCAAACATCAAATATCATGTATTATATAATATATGTTTCGGTGCAACCATCCCCATCTTTAGAACCAATTGTTTTCTAAAATGAGCAAACAATCATAAACACTAAGAGTAAAGATATGTTATAAAAAATAGTTATACCAGTAATATTAAAAATCAGTGCTAAAGAGTACGTGATTATTCACTAATTTTGAAAACAATGGTTACGCAGATGGTTGCTACAAAACGTTAGGCCATCATGAGCATTGTTGATAAAAATAACAGTTGAAATTATGGTGATCTTTTAAATATACCTAGGAGCATAGGCAACATAGACTTTTAGTGGCTTTATACCAAATTTTGAAAATACAACAAAAAAGCTTACATTTACTTTTTTCTTCTCTAATGAAAATCTCTCATCTAATAACTAGGCAAAGTATATCTGTGCCTTTAGTGGTTTGAGATAACACTTATAAGACAATAAAGATTTTTTTAATTATGCATTTTTATCAGCTTCCGCCATCAGAGACTCTGTAGCCCAATACCATTCTGGGGTATAATAGTATCTATAGTATAATAGTACCATTCCACTTATAAAACATTATAATGGTTAAGTACTTCAAGTAATCTATTTTTAGAAGAATATTTAAGTTCCAAACTGCTCCCTTTAAAAGCTATTCAACTCTTCAATAAAAAAAAATATTCCTTTAAAAAATATTAAGGTATTCCAAAGTAATTACCTGTAATTTCTGTTTGACTTCTGAGGAGGCAACAGCACTCTGCTCGTGTTTTCCTTTCTTCTTCAGGCTATCAAGTCTCTCTTTCTCTCTCGCCTCACGCTCTTGTTCCTCGGCAGCTTTCTGCTTTTCCCAAAGCTCCTGGCGAAACCAGTCAAAAACTGTTAGGCTTGGACACTAAATAACACCAAGGATCTCTCTTCTAAATACAGCAAGCTCAGTCAAGGGAATATTAAAGTTTATGTGATATATACTAATATATACATATACTTTTTGGCAATCTTCCATACAAGATGAAAGCAAAAATATGTAATTTAAAAAAAAATGAAGAAATCATCAAATATGGCCATAAAGTTTATTATAGCAATGTATTCAATGTTAAAGAAGAAATACTAACAGAAAAATAAGATTAAGCTTTAAAGATACTGATTAAGCTTTAAAAGGAGAAATTTATGCTTTGGATGTAACATGGCTCCAAAATTTGAATTTATTTGTTAACATTAGCAAAAACTGACTTGGGAATGGCTTCTCAATGAAACTGTAACTTAATTTTCTATGAAACAGAGTTTATGGAAATTGGAAACAAATAAGTGATTCCAGTTTTTGGAGTATGTTACCCACTAATGTATATTTTACCTATTTTATGGAAAATAGAAAGTTACATAAAGCTTAATAGTAAATCATGGGAAATATTTATATAACAAAGTGATGGAAGGTGATAACATGAGCTACAAAAAAGTTTATATAGATCATGATATGATTCTATAAAGAAATTCAAGTTTCATATTTATTTTAAGTGTCATGATTTTTGTTAAATAGGTGATAACTAAAATTCAGATCATGGTCTGTATGAAATATTTTATTGCTCATTAGGTGTACTATCACCTGATAAATATTTCCTGCTGTTCATAGGACCCTCAGTATGTTAAAAAAAAAAAAAAAAAACGTAATGAATCATGAATCAGCTAAGATATTAAATTTTGAATATTCTGTACAGAGGTTAAATATAATTTTCATTAAAAGAAAAAAGTTTTGAAAAGTCAGTCTAAACATACAAAATAAACTAAATAACTGATTTACATCAATAATCAGGAGAGAGAAAAATGAGGTTACCTTCTTCAGTTATCTATATAGTTACAAACTATGGGATATCATAAATCAAAAGTTCACTTTATATTCAATTCATGGGTTATACCTGGTATTTACAGGAGACCCGAAAATTTAATTAAATGTATGGTGAGGAATTTGATATCACCTATTCAATTATGTTGGTCATGAACTGTTGCTTAACATCCTTCATGGAATAAAGATATAAAGGAATAACAGTTTTTTTCATTAAATAAATTATTCGAGAGTTAAAAATAGAATCATATGATGGAAAAGAAACTTCAATAAAACAGTTTCAGAAAAAGCATAAAACTAACAAATGGTCTATAGAAATGTTTACTTAGCAATCAAAAGATTGTTGATCAATAATCTATTTGATAAGGACGGTCTATTACAAGCAATAATGGATCCAGGATTTAATTTTGGGAGGAGCTTCAGCCCGAAAAATTTTTTTTTTGTATGCATGTATTAGGATAATTACTTCGGAAGAAAGAAACAAACTAACTACCTATATGAAATGGTGTTTAAGTCATTCTTTAAATCCTATTAAATGTAATTAGATGAACAATAATACTTTTAGAGATAATTTTTTCTTTAAACATAGTTATATTATACCATTTTGTGAGAGGGGGGGGGAGGGGAGGCTTCAGGCTTATAGGGGCGGTGGTAAGTGAAAGAAGGGGCAAGCAAAATACAGCTTGCTCCACATATCAAAAATACTAGTACTGGTAAGGGGTACCCAGAAGGGGATTTCATAGTAAACTGCGGCATCACAATTTTTGAAGGCTCATATTTTTACGAGGCTTTGCATTTTTGAGGAGGGCTCAATTCGACAGGGATATGGATTTTCGAAATGAGAAGTTTCAAACTAACAGACAAGGAGGAATATGGAACAAACCACAACAAATGTAGTTGAGTATAATCTTTGTTTTTTGAAAATTCTACTTTCGTTTGTACTGTTTTTAAGAACGGAAGAGTGATAAATTATCTTGGGATTGGGGAAGAGAGATTAATCCTTGGTTTCGGCCCTGCGGAGGGGCAACCTGCCTCCAGGCTTCGAATTTTTAATTTTTTTTTTTTTTAATTTTTCATTGAAAATTTTTAAAGATTTTAAGAAATAAAAATAATTATATAATAAAAAGAGGAAGAAACAAAAAACTAGGAGAAAAGCGATTCACTAAGGTTGGGGTCCATCAGTTTCAGATCGTAATCTTCCGTAGAACAAATATTGGACATCCAGAAACCAATCTTTCTCCAAATTCCTAATGATTTTTAGAAAACGTATTCAGTTTCAGTGAATTGTGTTAGGTAACAGAACTCTGATTAAAACTTTCGAAGTTTAGTTTTGCTGTCGTAATGAAGAGTGAATTAAAAATGCAAAAATTATTGCAATATGTAATCACTTATCTCTTTTTTTTTTGTTGTGTAATTTATTTATTAACTTTGTATGTCTCTAACTTTATTCAACTTCTTTGTCCGCTTGTTCCCTATTAAGTCTCCTGCCACCCACACCATCCTCAGAAGAGGATGAAGACGAGGCAGAGATAATTATCGTGGACAGAGGAAGACGACAATTAATGGGACTGCCCACACGACCCGCTCACAGTACCTCAACCATCCCGGTTTTGTAATATGGCTACCAACTATAACAATTATAATCACTCATTATACTATATATATATATATATATATATATATATTTAGTAAATAGTATGGTCCTAAACAGCAACTATTAAACATTCGTTAATTAAAATCTGTGGATTATAGATATCAAATGATAATACTGATAATAAAAATAACTCTAATAGATTTTTTTTGTATAGATTAAAAAAGCTGATGAAACATCAGCAATCCTTTTTTATTTTCAATACTGAACCTAAATATAAAAAAAAAAATTGGTGTAAAAATAAATTTATTTCCTAAACTGTCGTTGTTTTTTTTTCAAGAAAGGTTTGAATGATGATACTTGTATTTCTAAAGTATTAAAAAAAAAAATATTATTCATCAAAAGCTTTTATAACCTTTTTATTCGAATGAAAATAAAAAATAATTATATTTAAACTAATTATTATTGTGAAAATTAAAAAAAAAATATAATTTTAATTTTTTTTACTCCAGTCAATCATATTTTTTTTATCTAAATCGAATTCCAACTAAAATTTTGATATTCTAAAACGGACCTTGAGACTTAATTCCTTCCAAAAGCAGCCCTATTTAAGTTTCAATATTTTAAAATTACTATTAAAATAATCGATGATTATCGGAAATACGTACTACAAATAAAGAACTTCTCAATTAAATGTTTTTAATAATGATTTCACATAACATTTGGAATAGATAATACAGTTTTTTTGCGTTTTCTGAAAAATAGCCAATGATGATTAGTGTCCACTTTGAAAATAAACTACTCAAATACAGGCTTCATTTAATCTACTCAGTTAAACGTTAAGGACAAGTTTCTAAACAGCGTTGGAATGTTTCATGGATGTTCTCATATCTGAGTTCAAAAACCTCCCCGAATAAAAAAGTTGAGAAAACAAAAAAAGTTTGCAAAGAAAGTTCAGTATATCTTCCTCAAAATTACTATTGGTTATAAAATCTCCTATATTTCAGGGTATATTTGTTTAAAATTTAATCAATTAATTTAATCTACTAGAGCCTCTAATCAAGTAAAATACGTCGGCATATACAAGATTTGATAAAACTGATTCAAGACCATTTTTTTTTTTACACAAGTTTCCAACTATCTTCGAAGTCAATTTAACATCATGTTGCAATGTTGACTTCGAACGATAGAATGGAATAATTAACCAACTGTTTTGAATGACATCAATGGCGAGTCTAGTAAATTGAAAACAAAATTCAAATCACGAAAAACATAGCAATTCTTATTTACATAACGACGTCACGAGATGTCGCCGATATATAACGTAGAAGATAATCAGTGAATTGAAAACCTAGCGTATAACAACTGGCGCTTCTATTGGAAAATTAGTATTAGTAAAAAAGTAATATGACGAATGAATAAACAAGAAACATTTAATTTTTAAAGGAACAGCTAACTTTCGATTGCTGAATAAGCGGTTCTTTATATTCTACCACTAGCGGATCTAGGATTTCATCTTTTGGGGAGGTACTTGAGCCTGAACGCTTTTTTTTCATATATAGATAGATAACTACTGTAGAAAAAAGGAAGATACTATCTACCTATATGAAATGGTATTTATGTGATTCTTGAAGTCTTATAAAATGTAATTACACGAACAATAATACTTTAAGAGATAATTTTTAAATATTTTTTTACCATAAAACATGGTTACATTTTACCATTTTGGGGGAGGGGGCTTCGGCCCGAAATCCCCCTCGCCCTCCCTGTGGACTCTACCATATACCATGCTATAGAGAACAAAAGTGGAACTCAACAACTCCCCAATATAACATAGTATAGAGAGTATAAGTTGGACTCTACTACTCTGCAATATATACAATTACGGTCTAGAACGCATAAGTAGGACTCCAAAACTATAACATCACGGTATAAAGAGTAAAAGTGGAAAACATCACCGCGATTTTCTTAAGCGGTCCTAGTAGAGTTACAACGAATATAATAAGCTAAGCATAATTAATATAAATATCAACAGAGAAATATACAAAAATATAGCAGCTTCCTTAATTACTTCCTAATGAAAATGTAGTAAGAAGGTATATAGAGTTGCTACTCTCCCCCCCCCCCCCAAAGTTCGATGGTGCAAGAATCCCCATCCCTATTTCCCCCCTCCTCCCAATATATTTTACTGCTCACTTTTGCTTAAAAACAGAGAAACTAATGTAAAATTAGAAAAGTCGTTCATCATATACAATTACACTTGTTGCAGTCTGTAACATGTTTTTCCCTTGTCCTTTAGTCCGAAACTTCGTAACTTGAGCCATGAAACCCCCTTCTATGCACTCTTAGATATATAAGGTAGCTTATGGTATAGAGTATATGTAGATTTTTTTTAAACTGTTCTACTGAAGTTCTTTGGGCTTAAAGTTTTATAAAGTATTTTTCAATAAATTTAATATAAAAGAAAACAATTTTTTTATCTAACTTTATTCCTTTATACTCTCGACTATTAAGGACATTGACCAGCAGCAGCCACATAAATTTAAACTTATTAATTTATAGTTATAATAAAAAATAATAAATTAAAAAACAAAACAAAAATAAAATAAAGAGACAGACAATTTACCTTGAGGTGGTGCCTCAGCTGCTGCTCATGCTGCTCGGCGAGCTGCTGCTGTTGGACCTGGAAGTGTTGAAGCAGGATCTGCTGTTGAAGCTGCTGTTGCTTCTTCAGCTGTTCAACAATCGATAAAAAAGTAAGCGCATTTAGGAATATAAATACAAATATATCTATTTCGCTTACATAACAATCTGTACTCGCACAGCATAACATATCAGCATTTTATTAAATTGATAACAAAAATACACGAATGATGAAAATATTATAATGATGTAGAGATAGTTGACCGTGATATAATATGAGAAGGAGTTGATCGGAGGGGGGGAGGGGAGGTGCGGTCAAATAAATACTAAATAATAAAAATAGTATTATTAATTTACTACACCGACGTTTCGACTCTACGTATACTCAGACTATCAACATTTTTTATTAAATAGACTCAGTCTATCAACTGCCTCCTGCAATGCCCTGATGAAGACCTGCAAGGTGGGTCGAAACGTCGGCGTAATAAATTAATAATATTATTTTTATAATTTAGTATTTATTTGAACGCACCCCCCGATCAGCTCCTTCTCAGATGAAAATATTAAATTTGAACTATGATATTTAAAATTAATATTTTGTCAAATATAATATTATATAAAACGACATCTCGTTTTTCGTTTGCAACCTATATCGCCAGAACTACTGGACCGATTTACACCTTTTTTTTTTCGAAACGATTCTTGTTGTCTCGAAATGGTTTAAGCTATTTAAATCCTCGACCTGACCAGCAGGATCGATCAGAAAAAAAATAGTATCAAATAGTAAAAAAATGTCATCTACACTAAATAAGAAATTATCTTATCATTTATACATTAAACGTTTAATCCTGTGCCCATCAGACGTAAAAACAAAAACTGATGTTTATGCAAAACAAAACCGCTGAACATAACTTTTTTTTTATTAATGATATTTACAACTGTATAAAAAGAAATATATCTAATAAATTTGTACAAATGGAAATAATAACTTGAAAACACTTGTTGAGAAACTAGCCTCTCGTAGCACTCTAATAATATGTCTACATTAGGAAGCCACGGGGTTGAACATAATTAAAATACAAATTCATACATTCTCTCAGTTTAAAAAAAAAAAAAAAAACAAGAAACAGGGGTTTTATTTATATGCTTCAGTATATTCAGAGGAACAAACATAGCAGACGATGGAAATTAAATTTGCCCTAACCTATTATAATTTATAAAGAAACAAGAGGAATCAAAAGAAAATGAAATAGGACACATTTCATAATCCGTCAGAGGAGATGGTGGATGAAGAAAATTAAATTAAATCATACCAGGAATCAATAAATTCACTATCTTTCAAGCAACAGAAACAGTGTACAAACGTGTAAAAGTGGTAACGTTTTTTTTTTTTTTCTCTTGAAAACTGACAGTAGATGGAACACCACAAACAGTTGGGCACAAACCCTAGCACCGACAAACACTCACTTTCCCGTCAAGTTCGTGTTTCCCATAGTTTGTGAAATGTGTAAAAGCGGCTTTATACAAACATTATGAAGCAAACAACTTATGAGTGATAGAAAAATGGAATTTAAACATATTTTTAATGAACTTAATTAATCTGTTCTGAAATGGAGGTTAGACAGATTAAAAAAAAAAAAAGGTATGTGCACATAAGGTATTAAGGAATCGTTCTGTACTTATTGTTAGAATTGTCTTGATTAAGATGTGGAAAACGTTGTACACATTTAGAGCTAGCGTGAGACACTAAGTGACAGTACATGGAAGGAGAAGGGGACTTCAGAAGCAGCGACACGTGGAGTCCGGATCGAATGCGACCCCCGGCCAGGGTCAAGGTCGTGCAGATATCGGGGTCAGGGGTTGGCAATCCTGGAGGATGGTCAGCCGGATCTGAAGGATAAGGAAGGAGTGACGTCAATACATCACCGGGAACTAGTATAGTCTTCTGGCAATTAAGCGTTTCAAATTATTTCTTTGAAAAAATAAATACTATTGCATTATAATTGCTATTGTAAAGAAAAGAGAAAAAAGAATTAAATTTGTGTAACACTTCGCAATGATAATATTTAATTAACCCGAGATTTGGATTGGGATGTCGAGAAGACATACACAAATGTAATCGTCCAAACAATCTCACATAACACGTTGTTTTTTATAACATATGAGAAAAATAAATAAATATACACATATTACTTGTACTGTAATCAAACATAATAAAAAACGTATGTTATGTGAAATTTTTCTTTGTTAAGAATGATAAAATGTAACACTATTTACGCAAGAAGAAAGAGAGAGCGTTCCCGTATTTGAGATTTGAGTGATTTAGCTGTAACGTAACATTCGCTAATTTTAAAGAGATTACTGTAAACTATTAAAATTATTTTAAATTGTAAAATTAAAACTTCCTAATTTTTAAAAAAAGCTATATTGAGAAATATATGATATGTATGTGACACTTTTATCCTATACATACGCACAAGAAAAATAAATAAGTGACAAGAACAGACTATGACGTACAGCGAACGAGTAAATTTTATTTGATTCGATTTTCGGATTCTATTTACTTTGAAACGTAAAACCTCAAATTATTTAAGAGGTTAATCACAAAAAAGTGTATACTTTCTGAGTTATTCGCAAATCTTAATTTTGCATTCCTTATAACTTTTGTGTACTGTTTCTTTTCGTAAAACCTAACTTTTTGAGAGGAGACTACCTTTTTTTTTTCTTCGTCTATTACATTATTGAAAATAAGACTATTAACCAAAAAAGTTGAATTAAATAAAACTAGGTATAAAAACCATAAAATGTATTAATACTTATATATTATAGAGTCTAATGAACTCCAAGTCAGGCCTTTCCACTCATCATCAAAATGTATTAAAAGCCAATGGAGATAGAGCGAGAGTACTGAAGGTACACGAATGTCTTGAGAAGAGAACATGGCCATCTACCGGAACTCTAAAAAATTCATATCCACAAAAGGCCGCGGGGTCACTGTCGTTTCAACATTCGGGAAAGATCGTACGAATTGATGGAGCAAGATAGGGATTATGATATTCTGAGAGAATATGTTGTTGAGTACTGCTACCACCACACGGTATGGAACATAATATGGAACATTGACTATTGTTCGAAAATTTAGCTGCCTCCCTTACCTGGGTCCAAAAATGGATCATTCCTATAAATGTATCATCATAATTGATATATATACACATACATCATAGTAATAGAGGGAGATAGGGAACTAGACTACGCTAACAGAGAAGACAGAGCGCTCCCATTCCCAATAACTGTACACAAGGATCCATGACCTCATTACACTGCTGCCACCATCTCGGCCAGCCCTTCTATCTCCATCCCCACTTCACCTTATTTTATGGTTTAATATGTTAACTAAAGAAATTCACAGCAATTATTCCGTTATATAAGAGAAATGTCACGGAATCGATATATTAACCATAAAGAAATTTCAAATTCATAAGTTGGTTGGAGAAGAGGCACATTAAGAATAAACTACATAGACAAAAATAAATACAATAATTTTAATTATTGAAGAGAAGCAGTTCGGGGATTGGAGTAATGACACAAGTTACCGACCGCTTTAATATTATCTCTGATCTGGAGTAATGGAAGTATATAAAAATAAATTATAATTTTTTGTGCTGACGTTACAGGCTAAGTTTCAGGTCTGATGGTTCAAAGAGATTCAAATGAATGACGACGGACGGATTAGATGAAATTAAAAATTAATTTTGATATTTGAGGACGGTGTGAAGTGCTCTGAAAATTTCAATTCAGGCAAGATATCTAAAAAAAACGGGATGTTTTATAGCATATTCGAGCCTTCTGAATTTGTATAGACAAAAATCATGTAGGTAAAATTATATATATTTTACAAATATAAATATATATCATATGGAACAAGTTGGGAAAATGCATTGTATAATTGAATCAATTATAAATATCTATCATCTATATTACTATCTGTTAAGGAGACACAGCACAGCTCTAATTTAATTTAATTTGAATTAATTGAAGTGAAGCAGCACTGCTGCGATCTCTAGCAATACTGACGATATATGTCAGATATTCCGCTATTATTGAAGTTTTGATGCTCACGCATTTTGAACTCACTAGGCTGTCAGCAAGAACAATTACCATGTTTCCTGATTTCATAAACATGGAGTAATAAATCATAGCGGCTCGGCCAAGGGCCACGAAAGAAGAGGCATGAAGACTCATACATAGAAGAAAAGAAAATCAAAATTAAAATCAGCAACCCATCTAAATTTAAATATTGCATAACATCCAAAATTAGCAATCAATTTTATCTTACAATTTATTTATAGTCCACTAACCCCTTTAATTTGCAGTCCGTAGCAGTAAAATAAGAATCAGCCCTACAGCATAATTATCAGGTCAATATCCCTAACAGCCGTGGAAGGGATTGGCTTAGTAAATTAATTAACTATCAATAAAACTTAGATAGACTAAAAAAAAAATTGTGATAATTGTGGCAGAGAAAATCGCCCTAAACGAAAAGTAAGCAAATAAAGATAAAAATAAAATACTTGAGTGGGCTGAAAACAATATGCCCAATTTCAATTTGAGTCACGAAAAAAAAAATCATTCTTATTTTCTCGAATTTTCTTTATTTTTATACTTTTCTTCCAATTTTCCATGACAGAGAGGAATACATTACATCAAGTATAAATATATTTATGAGTAGGATTTTTATGTAGTTCGGTTTTTGAACGGCTTTTGGAATCATCAGAGATTTTTAAAAAATCAGAGATTTTTACCGCGGCGCATGTGGTCTGAGACCAGAAAAAAAAATGTATTTTCAAGGTGTTCGGATAAATCAAATCGCATATGTTGTTAATGTGAACCATAGTAGACTGATATATCCCTACAGTTTACGCAGAAATAAAAAAACCTGTTTTTATCAAACTAATTTTGCAACTTTTTATATAGCTAAATATATTTTTGATGTTTTGATGAGTTCATAAAATAATTTTTTGTTGTGTAATTTGTTGAAATGAGTCAAATAATTAATTTCTTAATAAATTCTAAAATCGTATATTCATGGGA